TGGATGATGCATCTAAGGATGGACACTACCACACTTGCTTCGGATGCTGGATCTGACCTAGATTTTCCAGATGAGTGACCAGGTTAAAGTTTTTGGAGCAGGTCCATTCCCAAGTAACTATAAGCCTTACCTTGACCAAACTTGCATGGATGATGCATCTAGGAATGGACACTACCACACTTGTTTCGGATGCTGGATCTGACCTAAATTTTCCAGATGAGTGACCAGGTTAAAGTTTTTGGAGCAGGTCCATTCCCAAGTAACTATAATCCCTACCTTGACCAAACTTGCATGGGTGATGCATCCAAAGGATGGACACTACCACACTTGCTTCGGATGCTGGATGTGAGCTAGATTTTCCACATGTGAGGCAAGGTTTAGATTTTGGAGCAGTCGCGTTCCCAAGTAACTATAAGCCCTTCCTGGACCAAACTTTCATGGATGATACATCTAGGGATGGACAGTAACTAACCTGCTTCGGATGCTGGATCTTACCTAGATTTTCTACATCAGTGAATTTTAGCCATATTTTAACCAAATTTGCATGGATGATGTATCTAGGGATGGACACTACCAGACTTGCTTTGGATTCTGAATCTGACCTACATTATCCAGATGAGTGACCGGGTTATTTTTTTGGTGTAGCTATATAATATTATGGCCTGTTATGATTAAACTTGCATAGATGGTGCATCTAAGGATGAAAACTTCCAGACTTGCTTTGGATGTTGGAACTGACCAAAATTTTCTTGATTACTAAATAGGTTAAAAGTTTTTTGAGCAGGTCTATTTCCAAGTAACTACAAGTCCTACTTAAACCAAACTTGCAAGGATATTGATCTTGGGATGTTCCCTATCTAGAAAAAAAAATATGATGTGAAATTTGCCTTACTTATAGATAACATTCGTCGAGGTGAGCTTCGTAATCTTTGATTACCTATGTTTTGATCTCGAATTGCATTGTCCATATCTGTCCTCACAATAAGTATTCTCTTAAGCAAACTTTTTTATAGCTTTGATTTACTATTTCATTGTTATAGCTAAGACTTTTTATAAACATTAATTTACATTCTTTCACTTCCTTATCAAGAGGAATGTCATAAGATTGCGTATGTTAAATATATTACCTCATAAACAAGCCGAAAAAAGAAAATATTTCAGAATATGTAAAAATATACATTTTGCACAGTCATAATATCATGGTAAATACATGTAACATTACATTGTACTTTTCCTCACTAATTTAATACTGAAAATGCTTGTACAAGTTTTGATTATGTAAAATGATTTCATAATATCGTATGTACTGACATTTTCTAAAATAACTTTCTTGATATTTCTGTAAAGTGTTTGTTGAAAATATCAACAATTACAACATCTTGTAAATTTTCAAAACCCATTACACCAATTTATGTAATACAGGAAAAAGGAAAATCAGATACCTATTGCTTAAAAAAAATCCACATTTATTGTGAGGACATCAGCTTTTTTGCATATTCCAAATCTGTTAGAAAGTTATTTCCATTAATTTCTTTTTTAATATCGGTATGGAATTTCAGTTTTTTTTTTTAAATGCAGTTAATTCTGCGTGTCGATTACGGGGCGGAGATAGTTGTCAAAATAGCAAAAGGGGGAAAACAGCATTTGTTCGCGCCTTCAGTGATGAAATTTATATCCGGGTTCCCTACAAAAATAAAAAATCAAAAACTGGTAATGACTGGCATGTCTGGTGTACATCATTCCTTCCGTGATACCGTAGGAGTGAATCTTCGCTTTGATCAGTTTATGGAGCGCCTTCGTTTCCTGATAGAAAAGATTAATACCATTTTCCCAATATTGTACCGTGTTCACATCTTTAAATGCGCTTTTGTTTGAAATACTTATTTCATAACCCTCTTTATTTATCACTAACATATTTTACTATCATGGTATTTTTAGGTGAAATAAAAATCCAAATCCCACCTCGGTAAGATGCCTGGTTCCTGAAGAACGATGTTCGATGTTCAAAATGAATTCTTCTGCAGCCTGTTCTGTGACAAACATCTCTCTGTAGACATCTTTGATAGTTTCTTACATTTACCTGAACGTCTTCCTGGAGTCCTCGAAATTTCATCTGTTGAAATATAAGACTACTTATAATTAGATTTACCTTCCCTGATTGTTTTCTTGTTTTAGGTTGTTTGCTAGACAAAAATCCCGATAGAAAACAACTAAGAGCCCTTGTCCTGATTCGATATAATGCTCACCATTTTACATAAACCTTAGCTCATTCAATGAACACCGAGGACCTTGTTTTCAGCACGCAAGATTGAACATTTTAATGTTTTAAAAGAAACAAAAACAACCCCTTATTTTATGTGACTAATGCTTTTTTTATCAAATTACATGTAATTGTTTGCAAATGAAAGAATGAATGTCCGTTAGGTCCGTGTCCATTACTTATCTGTAAACACGGGCGAACAGAATGCAACTTTGATAAATTTCAAACTACCGTTGGCTTATTGTTAAAACAGATACACTCTCATTACATTCAGATAATATCAATATATACACGACATTGATTGTACATGTGTTGTCACTGGTGAATATTTACTCATCTTATTTATTCCTTTTGATCATTTCAGAGAATACTTAACAAGGCTCCTGACCTACTTCATCGTTGCAAATACGAAGTGGATGTCTTCAGACTACTTCAATTTTTTGAGTCACGGGGGTCTGATTCAGCTCCACTTATTCACGAAGAAAGGAAACAAATTAATACAGTGGCAAGGTTTGGCTTGTTGAATAAAAATAATATCTTATAGTGTTCATTTAATGAAATGAAATTAAAACTTTATTTTGGTCAACAAAATAATTTACCTTCCAAGATGAATTCTATTCACTGAGTCATGAAGGCGAGGCGAATATTATTTTTTTTTTCTTTGTTTTTTGTTTTGTTTTGTTCTTTTGTTTTGGTTTTGTTTATTGTTTTTGCAAATAGTAGCATGTTCTTCAGCTTGTTGGTCTCATTAAAGTTCGTCTGTTATTTCATTAATTTATAATATTTGCATCATTACCAGACAGTAATTGTATATTTACATCGAAATACTCACTGAAGGAACAAAAAAATATTTATTAAGTCGGGTCACAAAATATCTTTGCATAAATGCAATAGCATCACATTAGTTTTCTCTAAATTTACCTCCAGTTCATTGGGATGAGTAGGGGTTATTTGATATTTCAACATAAATGTATGTTATATTGGGAAAAAAATCCTGATCAAAATATAAAGTACTTTGATTATAAATAGAAGCTTATTAAAGGCAACATGTACATGAACAAGCAAACATTTACAATATCATTCTGATCAATTGAGTTCATAGGGAAACATTTTGTCCATCCCTACAATATATATTTTGTCATTTCTGCACGTTCATGAAGTTTATCTAAGGTACTAAGATATCATCCCAATCACTTATATAATGCATATATGTAGGTACATTGCAGATTGATGGTTTGAAGTTATTTAATTATTTTTATTTAGTACTAATGTACACAGTGCTATATATGCTAGGCCTTTCATAATCAAATTGATCCTCAATTTGTTTTTAACGAGAACGTGGCCTTTTTTGACCTGTTCCGTTTAGTAAGTATCTTAGTATAGTTATCATAACTTATCAATGAGTACATCATATAACAATTGTTTAGTACATAATGGGAGTGTGTTTGTCATACAGTGTTTGTCTACAAAATTCACTCTACTGTGCTTATCATTCTCATCTTTTAATCAATATATATATATTATTCCTTTCTCGTATTCCTAATTTCCGATAGGGTAAGCAAATAGCTGTTCAATCCATTTCCTTCGATAAAAGAAAACATATTTAAGATCAAGGTGATTTTGGGAGTGGGGGTAAAATTTTAAATTTAAGTGTATGAATTGCTTATATATAAAATTAAATACAAATAGGTGAACTCGTACGAGTTAGAGTCACAAATATTTTAAAATTCCTGACGTCTTGGCCTCCAGAGAGAGAGAGAGAGAGAGAGAGAGAGAGAGAGATGTGAGTCTTTCAAAAGTTTTAGTTTTTCGACCCTTCTCCTCCAGAGGGCCGTCCTAAACCTTTTTTTGGAAGGCCCCAAACCCCACACTTTATGAAGATGAAATTACCTTACAGACGCGCTTGGTTGTGATAAAATACGACTTTTATGCAATTAAAAAACAACAACAACAACAACAAAATATATATAAGAATTATGTGGAGTTCGTTTCCACTGTTTGGGGATTAATCATAAATGGATCCTCAAAAGAACCAAAACTTTATAAGATTTTCAAGATGCATTGAAAAATTGAATTATCCACAGTTGAGTAGATAAACCTCTTATCAAATATTTTTAAGATCGACGACCTGCACTGACCCACATCTCACGGCAGACTCTGGGGTTAAATGCCATCCTATATATTTTTACTAAGATTAATCAGCTTTATCGTACATCCATTTATAAAAATAGTGACAAACTCATTGGGAAATAAAAAAAAAAAAAAACACTGCATGATGAAAATTCTGACAAGACTGAGGATGTATATGTAGTTGCTGAAATAACACTGTGAATGACAAATTAATTAACACGAATATTATATGTACTTGTTTATAAATCACAACAGTTTAAATCAATTTTGATGTTATTAATCAAGTTCACATCTATCTGTTATATTGTTGTCAACAGTATTCGCGGATCGTTCGAAGGTCAATTCCGGCTGAGCCTAAAACACTTCTCAGCACTTCATAACAACACTACTTTACTCGAATGATGTGTCATTTACATAACCTACACTAAGGGTCATCATGTTATTGTAAGCATTTATACTTGTGTATATTTTGAAAATTATGCAAATCAAAGGACAAAGCAAGAGCCTTTTTAGCGTCTGTACATTTTGAAATACTTGGAAGCCTGGATGGGGAATTCCTAGATATATCTATATATCTTACGTACATTTAAAAAACTACAACTTTTAACTCTTGAAAGGGTCCCTGATATCATTGTTGTGTATTTCTGTTCGTGAATGGGTTGAGAAGCATTTTACTATACGCAATGCCGATTTGGACCTTCGCGGGTGTTTTTTTGTTCCTGCAGACATTAAACCAAATCAAAGGTGAGTTAATCTTTCCTTCTTTCTTTTTTGTTTGTTTGTTATGGAAAACGAAAGTAGAACCACATTGTTCACAACTTAAAGAGTCTAACTTTAAACCTGTTTATACAGAAGATCTTATATGTTTGTATGACATATTACGCTGCATATGCTCTACGGAGTTATCTACAATGAACTTTATTGATAGATTTCCATTCGCAGATCCACGATTTTACTGTCTTTGCGTTTTTGTGGTGGGGGTGGATCCACGATTATATGTTTTATTATGTTATTTTGAGCTGGCATTTACGAGCCCGATAAGTTTGTTTTCTTTTCATGCACATCCCTATAGTGGCATATTTCTGCCACCACTTGTCAGATGTTTATGTCGACTTGTCAGATAATTTTGTCGATTTGTCAGATAAAAAAAAATCATTACGACCAGCAAGTCGATATCCTGTTATCACAGCATGTTAAAACCACTAACTGACATCTACTAGTCATCATTATGGTGACATATTTCTGCCCCCCCCCCCCCACTTGTCAGATAATTATATCGACTTGTCAGATCTTTTTGTTGTCTTGTCAGTTAATTATGTTGACTTGTCAGATCTTTTTCTTAACTTGTCACTTATTCACGTGTTAAAAATTCAGCATGAAAATGTGTCAATGCCCAGTTTAGTCCATCAGTTGACAACATATTTTTCTGACAAGGCGACACGAGTATCTGACAAGTCAATTTAAAGATCTGACAAGTCAATATATTATCTGACAAGTCAACATAATATATTCTACAAGTCAACATCATTATCTAACAAGTCGACTTGGGGGGGGGGGCAGATTAATAACGTCCCTAATGATTTACTGGCATGTGGTTACAGGTAGCTATTTTACTAGCAGTCCTACTCGCTCTTGATAATCCGTTTATGTGTAGTTTCATCTCTCTAATGGCACGCGCGGATCTAGAGGAGGAGTAAAGGGGGGAGGGGGTCCGAATCCCCCTGGAATTTTCAGAGTTATAAAATTTATACAGTAAAATAACCCAAAAATGACAAATGACCTTGACCCCCCCCTCTAGGTTTTACAGATTTGGAGAAATTACTAGCTTTTTCGTCAAGAAATTATTGGGTAGAATTTTTAAAGTGGGTGTGGAATCCCAGCCCCCCCCCCTCCCCCGGCAGGAAAATAAAAATTAAGGATCCGCGTATATACATGTAAGGTGAGTAAAATACGAGTTCCTTGATAATCCTTATACATAGAACAACCGAGAATCCCCATGTACAGTACAGGCCACGAGTTTTCCCCGTCGCACGGTGGAAAACACACCGTGTGAAATGGTCTGTGTTACACCGTGTACACGGTGTAGCACGGTGTGTGTGGATTTGAAATACACAGGTAGGCACACCGTGCCGCATCGTGTCTTGAAAAATCCCAGCTAATGCTCTCCGTGTCGCACTGTGCCCAGAAAATTCCCTCCGTGCAGCACCGTGTCCATAACATTACAGAGAAAATCGTTTGGTTCTGATAAAAACTTTAAAATTTAAAAACACTCAATTACTTTGATTTATATGTATAATCATCGTTTCAAAATCTAGAAGACATTGACTGTGCTCTGAATCGAAATAATGACACATGTAGTATGATTAAATATCGGTAGCAGAAAATTGAAATTGTTTTGAATTTATCGTGCGCCCAGAAGTTCGTATTTCGTTAAGTTATTTAGTTACTTTTTAAAATTATAATTTGGATTGAAATTTTTAATGTCCGAAGAATTTAATTCTATGTGCTCATGCAACGAAGAAAGACTCCATCGAGCTGCATTACATGTAGTATACTATCCGAGCTGCAGTTGTTTAAGTATAGAATCAAAGCATTAATTTTATATTCCTGAGTAGAGCACATTTAATGTGTTAATCTTATATTATTCTGAATTTATAAGGGAGAATCGACAGTAAAAACACAAAATCCCTCTTTACAATAATGTGCGTATTTCTCCTAACAGATTTTCATAAACTAGTATTTTCAAAGCCTTTCAGTGTAAGTATGTAATAATTTTTTCTTTAATTGAAAAGTGTTTAAATAAACAATGTCAGAGAGAGAGAGAGAGAGAGAGAGAGAGAGAGAGAGAGAGAGAGAGCCCATTTCCCATAAAACTAAAAAAAAAATCTTCGTTTTATAATGCCTAAGAGTGTTTCTCGTAAAGGACGATTGACTTTTTCTATTCATAATCTAGTATTTATGCTTTTGTTTTAAAATCCTTTCAGTGTAAGTATTTAATACGGTAAGTTTTTATTTGAATGAAAAGTGTGTAAAGAAACAATGTCAGAGAGAGAGAGAGAGAGAGAGAGATTCTTATAAATTTAATTCTTCGTTTTATTTACATTACCAAAGTCACAATTAACCATTCTATAATACTATTTAAATTCCGTAACTTTGTTTTATATTCAACTCAGTTACAACATGTGTTCAATCAATTTGTTCTCTGAAACACACGAAATTCTCGCGCTCTACATGTCAATCAAAATCGCACGACGCTAGGTGGCCCTGAAAGTTTGTTTACGCGGAAAGTATTTCTCTTGTGATTTCAAACATTCTTATGGTCAGTTCCGAGTTCACACCTTTCTTTAAAATATATTTGGATACAGCCGGAGGGCCGGGGCGCCGTGTGTTTATCACACCTTTCAAATTCTTCCATCCTGACCATATCATGTGTATAACACACTCAAGTGACTTCCAGCCGAATTCATCTACCGGGTTACACCACCAGTCCACCACACGATTTTAAACTTACTTGTAAATTATCCTTTTTCAGACACATATAAACATGTACATGTAAACAGTTAGATTATGACTGTTTTATTTCACAATAACGTAACATATACATGTAAATCCACAGACTTTCGAAGCGGGGGAGGGGGGGGGGTAGCAAACATAATGCATTTAGCTTGAAAGAGGCTAGGTATTTTTTTTTTGTTCTAACTACACATTTTCTTCCTTAAAACCATGATAATACTTTGACCATGAGAAGCTTTGTTCTATACATCCCCGCTCTACATTCGCTAATTGATTTTTTTTTTTCGCAAACCGTACGACACATTTTTCATAAAATGAAAGATATAAATATATTATATATAAATGAAAGATATATTTTTTTTTATAAAATGACAGAATAAGGTAATAATTGTACAGTAGTTAAAAAGCAGATATGAGTTACCAGCAATAATCCTTAATCGAAAGTACATGTATAATTCGCCGAGTAATGTAATCAGAGAGCAGAGTTCATGTGTGTGTATCTGACACATTTTTAAAATTTTATTTAGATGCATATATATTTTTAAAATCTTTTTACGTAGAAAATGATTTATAAAATAAACCAATAGGCATGAATCTGATAAATACCACATATGAATGCATACGTACGGTAAAAGAGATCTTGTTACGAAAATGACTGTAATTTACGAAAGTGTATTCCTGACTATTGAACATATTTTTTCTCTTGTATAGTTAGGTTTTTGAAACGTGACTTACATGGATGTACGTACACATTTTGAAGAGTTTGTATTTTGCTGGACAAGAGCACGTGGATCTTAGATTTTATGCATGGCGTCTTGTTTGTTCAAACATCTGTCTATCGTTATTAATATCGCCTCGGTCAATATTGATATTTTTCTGGTGAATAACAAACCATATTCACCACCGAAAGAGTCCATAATTGTATAATATTTAAGAAAAAAAGTGAAAAATATCTGATTTCAAAGGAAATTTATATAATTGATTAAATAAAGAAATGAAAAGTTTTTATTATAAGTTCTGCGTGATATCGTAATGGGACACTGTGATACACCGCGCGTACACACCGTGTTACACGGTGCGCAGACACCCTAACTTCAAAGACGCCGACATTGATCGAGGTCCACGGTAAAGCGTGGACTTTCGGTCCACGGGGCCCCGTGTTTTTTCGGGGAAAACTCGTGGCCTGTACTGTAGATAGATTTTTTGTCCTGAATTCGACAGACTAATTCTAATTTGTGGATAAATAAAGGGAGAAACGCTGCATTTTTTGTGCATAATTATAACAACACTTTCTAAAGCATTTTCGTTGTATCTCCTCTATTCTTACACAAATGCCCTATTCAGTACTGTAGTTGCCCTTGAAGCCTACACAATTCTTGCTTCGAACTTTAATTGTCATTGAAGTTCCTCCTGCATTGAACGCTGTGGCATTTTGTTTTGTCTTTGTCGTAGGCCTCGTTTCGGGGTCCAAAATGGCGTGGTTTCTTCTGAAGCTTTGATATACATGTATGAAGTCTGGTTTTCAGAATTTTCAAAATTGATTTCTGTTATGGAATAATGATTCTAAGTTTGCAAATGTGCATAAAAGCTTGGGTTGCTGCAAAATATTCATGATAAATATCTTTTAGTAGATTAATTATTCTTGTACTAATCAAGCTTATAACTGATGACGAAAAGAATGCGTAACATAATTGAGGTTTTGATAAGATTTGAATTCTTTAGTTATGACCAATCTTGTATGTATGTTGCATCATGGAAAGCATACAACCAGCAAAGTGACATATATTTTTTTAATGAGTTGTTTAAGAAAAAATGTTCACTAGGCAAGTGTTTCCTGTACACTTCTCTAACAAACCCTTGGTTTATCAAGCACTCTACCTCTAGACATGTACAGTGTACATACATATACAATCATGTAGATTGCATGATCATCATAAGCCAAAATGTAAGTTTGTATATATATAGGCAACGATCAAACAGAGCAATGACTATATAGGTTTGCAATGCCACTCCATGATTAAGGTCCATCGTTATCAACAGAGACCAATCACAACTCACGAAAAAATCAAAAAGAGAGCATTCATGAAAATAGATTATTTTTAGCAGATCAATTTCCAAGTAATTACCTGGGTAGACCAGTCTTACACATGAGGATACTACAGTATATACTAACAAATCATTTTTCGTATTATGTGTGACATATTTTCTTACTAAGTTTTTTGAGCTCTGTCTTCTCAAGTACTTTTTGTTCAAGCAATTGTAAGTCTAATATTATTGAATGTTTTAAATCTGTGCTACCTATAGAATCTTTCATCGGTTGAATCAGGGATGATGTCTGTTGAATACAAGGTTGATTTTCTAAAGTAAGTCAAACAGCGGAGTGCTATGACTTTTAGGTGGTAAATATGACTTGATATTGACCAGAAAAATATCAATATTGACCGATGCTGATGATAGCTTACAAATTCTAAATAAAGCATTCCAGGGCTTCTTAAGCGGTTAAAATGGTAATTGCTAATATATACCTATGTAGTCTTTTATAGTTACTATATATCTATGTAAATACAGATGGTATATAAATTCATTTTGAAGCGAAAATTTTCAAGTACTTCTTACGCAGTTTTTTTAAGTCTTTTTTTTTTTTTTTTTTTTTTTTTTTTACAAGTTACAAATTCCGTGTTTTTCTTTCCTTATGTGTAGGAGATATTTTCCATTAGTATATTTCGGAAATGATTTATAAACCAAAACTTTTATCTACGCACTTCTGTCACAGAAACTTTCGAATTTCTATTTTAAACGTCCTTGTTTCTCCTTGTGTGTGGGAGACCATTTTCCTTCAGTATGTTTCGGAAATTATCCTCCGATAGACTTTCGAATCTTTCTCTTCTTCTTACTTACACAGCTCTCTACATGTATAATCATTTAAGCCATTGTTTACAACACTATTTGAGGGTTTTTATGGCATCACAATCAACATCGCACATCCTTATTCCTTCAGTTAATATTGAAAACTTCATAATGTCCAGTGCTCGTCACTGGCTACACCCATGACCCCCCCCCCCCCCAAGTGAACATTTTGGCGCTAAGAGTACCAATACTTTCAGGGGCGGGGCCACAATTGAGGATTAAGGAATATTTAGGATCCGATCTTTAAAAATCATCTCAAGAAGAGCAGGATCATGATTAGTTCAATATTAACAGTAGGATCTCCATGAAAAGCAAAGTATTGTATACATATATTCAAGTCATGATGCTAGGATGGGGCAAGTATATTACATGTGTATCAAAGTAGGTTTGATTATTTTCAAGTCATTGCCAACAGGGGCAAGGGCGTATCTGTGGATTCTAGTTTTTTTGTGGAGATAGTAAGAAAACTTTATAAAATAATGTCTTCTGGAGAGTTGCAGGGCCACACTGAATCATATCAATCATATTAATTTGCAATCATTCCCAAATATTTTATTCAAATTATCGACCCTTGTATTACGATGGGGTTAAAATGGGGAGGAGATCAAACTTTAAAGTAAAAAAAACTTCAGAACAACGCTAGCAGAGGCCCATAATGTAAAATGTGAAGATAGCGAATAGAGATCAATCTCAGAAATCCAGTTAACAAAACAATTCGTGAACAGGGCAAAAATACGGATCCCTGGAAACACCAGGGGTGGGATCAGGTGCCTAGGGGGATTAAGCATCCCCTGTTGACTGGTCACACAGTGAACGCCATGTATTGATCAGGTGATCAGGTGTAAGGCGTATTCTATGGTCAAATTTAGTATAAAGGCAATGACCTAAGAAATGGTATCAAACATATCAGACAAAATACTACTCAACGATAGGTTGTATTTCCAAACAATGTCATTATAACGACCGTAGAATTTGCGTAAAGCTGACTTTAAACAGGGTTGTTGGAATTCTTGTAACATCAACTTAATTGTCAGTAGCTTGCCTCGGTTTAAAAATTGTTCGTACTCAGAGCATTTTCTTGCGTATCGAATCAATGGAGAGACATAAACACCATATGCAGAAGTCATATTGATATGCGGAATCCCTATGTAGTGTGCATTCAAGTAGTGATCAAATCAATTTCCTTTAGAGCTAGGGTTGAGTCATAATAAAATGGTCAAAATTCACATGTAAATATTAAGAAAAAAGTCTTTAAAAATCTGAAGAACGACAGGACCATAGTGAATAAGGTGAGCGTTATTGCCCATGCCTAAGATGGCACACGACCCCTGTTTTCTACAAATATAACCATGTGTTGATAGAGATAATGGGGAGGACTTCTTGTTTTATAAGTGTTACACTTCCTGAACCTCTTCTTGATACATTATCGTAGTAGTAACGATCTACTTCCAAATTCATATTCAAGAGCGTTGTCGAAAAAATTAATATCTGCTCAGACGTAGAAAAAAAAACGCGTTACAGTTTTTTTTTGTTAGGTCAAAATGCGATGAATATTTTTTTTGCAGGTCAAAACGAGGCACTTATATTAAAAAATAATGATACTCAGTCTCATTTGATAGTTACAGCATTTAGAATATATGATGATCTATTTTTGTGATAAATTGACACCCCCCCCCATACACTCCCCCTCCCCCATCGTAGCTTCTTCAAAGACCAATATTTCAATCTAATTATCATCTATGTTACTGAAACAATAACATGCTGATGACATAATATGTTGGAACCAAATTCGACTGTTTATTGATATTTAAAATATAACTGGTCTGTATATTATGAACTTTTTGAACAACCCTCCTACGTTATCCAGTCTTTGCTTTAGTAATGTGATGTCTGCTTCCTGCAAGGTTCTGCTTGTTTAGTGAATCTATTTTAATCTGATTGTTATTATAGTAAGGCCAATTTGCACAAAAAAGTCACCGGCTAACAATGACAATCAAAGTACTAAAAGTACTAAAAGAGCACTAGTACAGAACAAAAGAATTGCAGCACCATTTCATCACAATCAAGAAAACGAAAAACAGCTAGTGATAAAATAATGTACATGAAGAGATATGGTGTATGCTTCTTTAAAAAAATTATAAGTTTACAGTTTTAATCCTCACAGATGATTCAATAGCTGTGTTTCATATTTCTTATCATGTATCATGTGTGCATTGCACGGGTCTTACATGTTATTTACGCTCATGATCATAAGAGTAAGACAAGAATAAAAAGTTGCAAGTTAAAAAAATAAGAAAACAGTTATATGATGAAATTATATTGTATAAATGTATGTTGCATTAAAAAAATATTATCCATGTTGAAGTTTACAACAATATTGTTAAGCTGTTTTCATTTTAATTTTTTCATCACTAAAGCATTATATTTTATTGTGTAAGATTTTAAATGCATTATTTTTATTCGATATTTAGGAAAAGTGAAAGAAAATCGTTACATTTTGTTTAATTTTTAAGGTTTTGATCTGGTCCGTCTCACGAACTTTGAGCCTGACGATGGAAGTTATACTGTCGAAGTCCATTATAACCAGAAATGGCATACGATGTGTGGTCCACACTGGTATCCAGCCAACGCCCGTGTTGTCTGCAGACAAACAAGACAACCATCGTGAGTTTTTTTTGTCTATCAAGATAAAAAACTAAATAGAACAAAACTAAGAAAAGCTAGCAAAATGTCTTCTCACTTAAAAGACAGAAACCTTAAGGTCTACTGTTCCTCAGATAAGAGAGATCAGAAGAAGAAATTAAATCCAAAAATATCCGAAAACTCGTTTCATTAGTGTTATGTATTTAACCATTTACTTGATTAACTGTAAGTTTATAACTTTAATTTATAGTTATTTATAGCTTTTTTAATTTAAACTTTTGCACTCTTTTTATTTTCCTGTTTCAAATTAAAATATTTCTATTTCTTTATAAGAACTAAAAAATTGTATACTTTGCAGTGTACTTTGTAGAGTATTTTCATTAGTAGTATATAAAAAAGCAAAATATTAAAGAAAGATAACTCTTGCTGATAGACATTTTTTACAAGCATAGATAAACAACCTGATATTCTGACTTAAAAAGCATGGCTTTATTATTTTTTCTGTTATGAAATTAATATGCAAGACACTAAATATTATTTTTAAATAAACATAATATTTTTAGTATTATTTTCTGATAATGAATTAGTGCTCTTCTATTTACTCTGTCAAATTTTCTTCATAACATGCTTAGACATAAATGTAATGAAATATGGAGATAACGAACGTATTCAAACTCATAGTTCATTTAAACAATACAAATCGGGAGCAGAGCAAACACGGACCCCCAAAATATCGGAGGCGGGATCAGGTGCCATGGAAGAGTGAGCACCCCCTGCCAACCGGTAACACCCGCCGTGGGCTCCTTGTCATGATCGGGAAAAATGGAAAAATTCCGTAGACAATTCAGTGTGTAAATAATGGCCTAACAATTAGTATGAAAAACGTCAGTCATCATTCGACTTAAGGATATATTGTATTTGCTAACGAGAACATTGTATCAGACATTTATGATATAAAGTTTCTTTCAAAAAAACCAAATAGGTCTAATTGTTTTTTTGTTTTGTTTTGTTTTTTTTTTTTTGAAAGCAACTTTATATCATAAATGTCTGATTAAAAAAAAACCTATTAGATTTGATACCAGAAGGTCAAAGGTCGAGGTCAGAAATTAAGTATATTAAGTATTATATATTAAGTGAAATGGTTTTTAGATAACAAGTTTAGTTCTTTTTGAGCTTTTGCAATAACATTCAAATCATAACTTCTTTGATTTACACAAGACCCCCATTGACTCGAGGTCAAAAGGACAAAGGTAAAGGTAAGAAATTCATATACTTCAAAAAATAATTCCAGGTGATAACTTTAATTCTCTTTTAGCTTTTACTATGAAATTGAGGGGATGACTTGAACGTAAGAAAAAACCCCTACCAAAAGGTATGAGGTCAAGGTCATTTAGAATTTTTTTTTCTCCATCTGCATTTTTTAGGTCTTTCACCCATTTTTTCCTTAATTGGGGGGGGGGGGGCATACTTTCTCTGAAATGGCTTGTTGAGTACTCGTTGATTAACAATTTATGAAAAAACTAATATTTTGTATGATTAAAATAAAATCCAGACAGACAAATAGAGACATCAAAATGATAAATCCCCTGTTGAAAGTTTATTTCAGTTTTATAAAAATATTAATAGAGGCTTTAAAAAGAATTACACTTCCCATACTGTGTTTGTTGTTTCTCAAGGACTCGGTGTGTAGCAGAATTTCGATCCAGCAAAGATCTTCCAGAGGAATCCAAGTCAATAACTTTGAATTATCAGTGCATCGGAAATGAAACAGCTCTACATAAATGTCCTTATCAGTTTGACCAAAATGCTATTGAAAGGAATTGTGGCCGCCAGCCTCGTTTTGCAGTCATTTGTGGATTACGTAAGTAAACATCTTACTTCATGTGGTCCATAGGCTTGTCTTGTTATTAGTACTTCATTGAAGTCGAATTGAACTTATGCCTTTCCCCTGGTGTTTGCTTCGACGTGGCGTCTCCATTAAAGGAGATGGATGAACAAGGCGCGCAGAATGCCTTTACCTTGAAAGAATAAACAATTCTGAATGGCAGTATCTGTCATGGCTTTATTCTTGTTTAACATTTTAAGGTAATTACATAATTAAACAATAGTATCAAAACAATGGACAATAATCAAGTATTATAGCAACTGTCAATAAGTAAGCGCCGATCCTCAATCTGGCATTTGGCGTATACACTTTGCAGAAACGAGGAGCCAAACTCTTTAATATCTATAGTAATATCTTTATATTGAATGAAGTTAAAATCCATACTCCACAGATGAGAAGTTTCGATTGGTAGTCTAATATCACAATTAAAATGGTGGGGGTGGATGGGTGTTCAAAATTGATGAAACGGAAAGGATGTGCGCGCAAGCGCATTTAATGACCTGGGGCTATTTGGTTGAGGCTAGAAGAGTTATCGCGCTTAGGCTATTCTGCTTCGATAACTGGCACTTACGGCACATAGCGGTAAATGCAATTATCCCGAAAGAATAAACAATTCAGAATGGCAGTATCTGTCGTGGCTTTATTCCTGTTTAACATAATAAGGTAATTACATAATTAAACAATAGTATCAAAACAATGGACAATAATCAAGTATTATAGCAAGTGACAATAAGTAAGCGCCGATCCTCAATCTGGCATTTGGCGTATACAGTTTGCAGAAACGAGGAGCCATATGGTGCCGACAACCTTGGAGGGTAAACAGAAGTTGCCAGCGATGGCTTGTTGCAAAATTCTGCCAAGTGGATTGCTGTACGCGAATTTCGAGACAGCAATCCATCCGCCAACAAGTAGCGGACAATTTGGCAAACAAGATATCATGTCTAATGCAACACAATTATTAGCAAAACAATTCAATGCAATATACAGGGTAACAACAAAGTATAATTTGGCAAAACAATTCAATACAACATACCAGTAAATCATCATGCATAAATCCGGGGGTGGTGGTGGAGGGGGTTGTTAGAGAAAATGATTAATACAATGCACATGTGTCGACTATCAAAAATTTGAGAGGGTGTATTGGGGTGATATAATGGGGCCATTTGCAAGCCATGAACAGATACTGCGTTTTAAGGGAGGATGGGGAAAACTTTTTGACTGGAAGTGAGGAACTTGGACAATGCGGTTTGAATTGTAGTTGTGAAAATAGAATTCCCAAGATCTGATAGATGTACGCAATCGAGGAATATGTGTTGATCAAGTTGCTCCCATTTTAGTCCCCCAGATCCAGACCAGGTAACATCTATCTTTAAGTGCTCCAGAGACAAGTTTTGGCCAATTGTTGAATGTATGCAGTAATCTTCAGCTCGTCTGATAATGGAAGATCCAACGATCCATACCTTACAGCAAGTCCCTGCAAACGTAGCTTACAGTTAGTAAGACTGACTATTTACAGGACTACAGTATTCGGGCAAACATAAGACTTGAGAGCGTTGGATTTCCATCTACCCATTTCTTGCTCTGGAGTACCTTGCATATACAATGAAGTTGCCGCCCCTATGCGAAATGAATGGGATTTGAATGTTGATATATATAGCTTGAGGAATGATAGAGCTTTCTTTAGTACTTGATTGAATTGATAGTATGTCATGGGTGAGCCATCCATGTGGCATAAAAACTGAGATGTTTGAGGTTGTGATGGTCTATGGGTCATGTATGCTTGTATGTTGTGAAATAGGACCTGATTTTGCTTTGTGCTGTTAATTTGCATTGTAGTGCCCTTGCCATGCTGATCTGTTTTGGTTTTCCCTAATGTGATCAGTATGGATGATTGCGAGATGGATACGTTTTGTATTGAAAATGGGGAACTGGAAGGGTTTGCCTTAGTGGTAGATATCTCCTCGACTCTAAGTAGAGCGAAGAATGCAAGGCCATAAGCAGAGGAGAAGAGTAATTTCTTGTAATAATTGCGGCATACGTGTTCCAAAGAATCTATTATCTTAACTAATAGGGGAAATGTTATCGGGCTTCTTGAGTCTTAAAGTTTTCTTTGTTTGAGTTGTTTAAAACCATGGAGCATTTTCTTGACTATGAAAAATTGACATGGGTCTGGGAAGTTACCTAGTTTTATGTTGAATCTTAAACCTGCTAGGTAGGTTTTGGCTGTAGTGTGTGTTGTTCCCTTTGATGAGAGGTAAGCGATATAGTTTATTAATTGGTCTACGGGAGGGGGCCACAATTCCTTTAAGTTGAGAAGTTTTCTAAATTGTGAAAATGAGTCGAGACCTTTCTGGTATATTTCTTGAGTGTTATGAGAGACTGATACTCTGAGTAGCTCTTCTACTTCCTGCTCAAATGGTTCCAGAATTCCGGAGGAACTTAGCAGGGATAGTAGTCTGTGTGGGGTGCCAGATTCCTGAACTTTAGCCACTGAAAACGAGATATGGCATCAGCAATAGAATTAGAATGACCTGGTATGTGTTCGCAGCGCACTTGGATATTGTATTTTAATATTTTGTAAAGAAAGGGTCTGAGAAGGGACATAACTCTTGGTGACTTTGATGTTTTTTGGTTGATAATCTCGACAACTGCCATGTTATCAATATGCAAATTTTTTTTTTTTGCCTTGGAGTTTGTGGCCCCATGTGTAAATTGCAAGAGCGACTGGGACCAACTCCAGGTAAGTCAGATCTCTACAATCATGATGTGACCATTCTGAGGGCCATTGTAGATAGGACCATTGTGCACCAAATATGACCCCACACCAGAGTGAGCCAGAGCTGTCAGAGGATATGTGGATAGTGTCCTTATCTGACCAGTGAATATCTGGGAATACAGTTGTGCCATTAAAGTCAGACAGGAACTCGAGCCATATATCTATATCTTCGCGAAGTGCCCTTGATATAGTAATATAATGGTGTTTTTTGTGTTCCTGTAATAGGCTGTCATAGAATCGTCTACAAAAGGCCCTCCCTGCAGGTATTGCCTTGGAAATAAATGCCAAGGATCCGACTAATGATTGCATTTCTTTAAGTGCAATATAGTAATATAATGGTGTTTTTTGTGTCCCTGTAATAGGCTGTTATAGAATCGTCTACAAAAGGCCCTCCCGGCAGGTATTGCCTTGGAAATAAATGCCAAGGATCCGACTAATGATTGCATTTCTTTAATTGTAATTTTGCGACGCGAGGCAACGTTTTGAATTTGAGCTTTGAGGGCCTCAACTTTATCTTAAGGGACAAAAATGGTTTCGTTGCTGGTATTAATCCCTAACCCTAGAAATGTTAGACATGTTGTGGGACCTTCTGTTTTTTCCTCTGACAAAGGAACGCTGAACGTTTCCCAAATTGTGTCAAATGTTTGCATGAGGTTTTTGCACACAAGGGTGTTTGCGGGGCCTGCAAAAAGGAAATCATCAAGGTAGTGGACTAATGTGTCAATTTTGGCTCGATCTTGTACAATCTAGTGAAGGGCTGTCGCAAATTTTTCAAATGTGACACAAGCTATAGAGCATCCAAATGGGAGGCATTAATCGATATAATAATTTTTAAAATGAAAACCAAGCAGGGAGAAGTCTTCGGGGCGAATAGGAAGGAGTCTGAATGCACTAGAAATGTCTTTTTTGCCTAGTAGGGCTCCCTGGCCCAGTTCTTTTATCATTCTTACTGTTGAGTCAAATGATGTATAATGAACAGTGCATAGATCTGGATCGATGAAATCATTAACGCTACTTCCCTCAGGTGCAGATAAGTTACAAATCATAAGCCAACCCCCTGCTTTTTGGGAACAATACCTATTCGGCTGCACTTGATATTTGAAATGGGAATATTCTTAAAGGGCCCAGCTATTCTGCCTAATTTTACCTCTTGATCAATTTTTTCTTGAAGCTGATGCGGATTTGTTTGCGCAAATTTCATGTTTTTAGATTTTTGGAATTCCCGGATACCCGAATAGTGAATGTTGAAACCATATTGAAAACCATTGATTAATTCATGAGCTACGTGTTGCAATGGGTAACTTTTAAGCATTGATTTTAATATGTTAACGTTGACTGGTGTTGGAGCCAAGTCTCAGAGGTCTTGGGTGGTTTGGAGGGAGCCCTCTACCCTGAAATCTGGTTGGGGGCTGGCGGGTTTGTTCGGCTTGGGACAGTCGAAAGCTCTCTGAGCGAAATGTCTGATTGTTGTGCCAGCGGCAGTTTATGAGTGGGAGACTATTGGAGCATTTTATGCAAGCATGTTGATAAGTACAGTATGGTCTGCCGCATGTACCTTTTTAATTAAAGTCAAAGTATTTGGGTGATTTAGATGTATAATTAGGTGCTTGCTGGGATAGGTTGGTTTGGCCATGGGTCACGTACAAAAACCATGATTCTGCATCAATAGCTGGTGCTGTCAACACTAGAGTTGAGGTTGATGGAGCTGGTGCTGTCAACACAGGAGTGTGGTTTTCCTGGTTGCCATGTTGGGTTGATACGACTGGTACTGTGGGTGCAGGTGTGACCTGGTTCTGTGGAGTCGTATTACATGTATTAGAGATTTTTGCCTTTTTGGCGGCAGCTTGGGCACGTCCGGGTCTGGCGTATGGTTTTTGTACGGAGCGTTTTTCTGCATAACAAACGATTGTGTAATCTCGTGTTTACCATTGTATATTACGCTGTATATTATGCTTTTTTTTAATTAGTTGCTATGGCTGTGACTGATTATGTGCCAACAGTATCTTTAACTTCTTTAACAAGAAAAAAAATAGTTAAACCGATTTCTTTGTTATAGTTGAAATGCCGCCATTAATAGATGGTGATCTTGAATCAAGCCAGCTGAATCCGCTGGCATCTCATGGTGCTGAGGCGAAGGAAACGTCCAATTCGCTTCCAATGCCTCACCAGGTGTTTAATACATACCGATGTCCTGTGGATC